TTTCTAATTTTTGGACTAATGTCTGGTGTGGTACTGTATCAGATACTTTTCTACAGTCCAAGAAAGTGCAGTCCACTTAATCTTGTCTTTTTTGTTTTATTCGTAAGACAGAATTTACCATCTCTAAATCCGTGTTGATCTTTTGTAAAGAATCTCCTTTACAAGACCCCCGATGTTCTTTTCCTTACTATCTTCTCCAGAACTTTTGACTATATGCATGTTAGAGCCTGCAATTCAGGGCCTCTTGTCTGTCCCCTTTTTAAAAAATGTGGACCATATTTGAGATCTTCCATTATTCTCGTGGATGTTCTGACTGGAGAAACTAGCTGAATATCTTTCCTAATGAGTCACATAGATGTCTCGCCCCTTCTCTCAGCACCCATTGAGATATGTTATCTGGTTCTACTGTTTTTGTTACATTCGGTTCCTGCATTAGTCTCATCATTTCTACTTTTGTTGTGTCGATACTTTCGAGTACTTGTTCGTCTGTTTTGTCTACACTGCCTTCCAGAAGTTCTCAACTTTCCTATGTTAAAACATCTTTGAATCTTTTTGCTAGGCTCTTCACATACATCTCTGCCATTCTCCATCATAGTTCCGCTTCTAGTTCTTGCTTATTATTTTCTAGCTTTCCTGATTTTCTCACTTTTTTTTTTTTTTTGCATTTTTGAATTATGCTGTATTTTCTTTAATTTCGCTTGCTCCTTCCCTTGGACTCTGCAGTGTGTGTTGTGTGTGTGTTGTGTGTGTGTGTGTGTGTGTGTGTGTGTGTGCTCACCTATTTGTGGTTGCGGCGTCGAGTCACAGGACCTCGTCCCGTAGTCGCTACTAGGTCTACTCTCTCCCTGCTCCAAGAGCCTTTGTGTGTGTGTGTGTGTGTGTGTGTGTGTGTGTGTGTGTGTGTGTATGTGTGTGTGTGTGTGTGTGTGTGTGTGTGAATGAGTGAGTGAGTGAGTGAGTGAGTGAGTGAGTGAGTGAGAGAGAGAAGACTGCGGCATGTACTTCTTCCAGCTAGTCGTTCTTCACTACTGTTCCATCTCCCTGGTAGCTTTTTGCTAGCCTCCTTAGCTTTGTTAGCCGCTGAGAGACTGACGTGGGAAGGGAATCAGTTGTGGCATATTTAACTCTCCTCCGGGATGAGCTGTCAGTAAGCCACACTCCTCGCCTCACTAAAAAAACGTATTAGTTCTTGAAGAGGCAAGCCAAAGTTTGCTCCAGCGGGAGGCGCTGCTGGGGTCGACGCACGGGGGGGGGAGGGGAGGTGGTGGTTTTTACCACCCTCTGAGAGGTGTCTGGTTTCCTCCTCTGGGGGAAACCTTATTTCTTGGTTCCTCGAATTTTCACGGTTTCTTGGAAGGCTTCTTGGAATCTTCCAGGTTTCTGAAATTTTTCCCCGTTCTTAGAATCTTCCCAGTTCTTGAAATCTACATGATTCTTTAAATCTTCCTTATTTTTGGAATTGTTCCTGATTCTGGGTATCTTTCCCATTCCTGGAATCTTCCAAGTTCCTGGCGATCTCTCTCTCTCTCTCTCTCTCTCTCTCTCTCTCTCTCAGGTAGCAGGCTCATACACACCTCCACTCTCAATATGGAGTACCAACATGCACCCACCAGAGTTACTGAGGCTCCTCTCATGTTTCCCACACACAGATTTACACAGCAATATCTGCGCCCTACAGGGTTTAGAGCAGCCTCGCATGCACTTTTCTATTAAAAAACTAGGAGAATATAGGTAGCTAGCGTGTGCGAACGGAGGCTCGAGTCTTCCACCACTCACGATGTAAATCTTTTTCAATTGCTTTCCTTCTTGTATTTTTCCCTGTGGATTTATTTTCTCCCGTCAATAGTTGTCTATCCTCATAGAATCTGTTGTATTCTGTTGTTGAGGAAGCGTTAAACCCGTGCGGGTCTTTCAGCGCCAGGAGGATAGAGGCTCGATCCTTCGTCTGCTCACCGTCGTTTGAAGTCTTTGCCTCGTCAGTACCTACATACATTTCAGTTCATAATAATATCATTATGTTGATGCAATATTCTCTTAACTGCGACCACAGTGCCCTTGTTTTTCCACTGGGTAAATTTATTTTACACATTCTCTCACTCCAGTATGTTATGGTAGTGCAGATTTGGCACCAGACCCTCAACTACCTTCCAGGTATATATTATCATATGAAATGCATGATAATATATGTGTACATATTTAGGGCTCTACGACGTTCCTAGTAATATAAATACTTTATTGACTCTATGCAGGTCGTAAACAGTTTCTGGATGTGCTCCAGCTCTCTCACCTGCTCCGACAGAAGCCGACAACACTGAACAAGTGATCTGAAAAGCGTCATTATTGGAACTATTTCCCTTATTTTGAAGGTTCTCATTATTCACCCCGTCATTTTCTTGGCTTTCATGATATTTGCCTTGTTGTGTGTTCTTCCTTTCATTTTGGTGATCTTGCGTTTTGTATATATTATCTCTCTTCAGTTCTTCATTCTTTCCATAGCTCAGTAGTTGGAACTTGTCACCACTGAACGTCGTTATTCTCCACTACCCAATGGAAGACTTCGTCTATATATTCCTACAATTTTTTCGTGATCTCTACCGAGGAACCAGGAGAGGCAGGAGGAGCTTAAAGCTATTAGTGAAATTGAAAGAAATTCAAAATATTTCTTTTCATATGCCAAAAACAAGGAAAATACCACATCTAGTATCGGGCCCTTACTCAGACAGGATGGGACTTACACAGACGACAACAAGGAAATGAGTGAAATATTGAAATCCCAGTACGACTCTGTGTTTAGTGAACCACTAATCGGTCTGAGGATCGACGACCCAAATGATTTCTTCATGAATGAGCCTCAAAACTCCATAAATGTATGCCAGATTTCCGACATTACCCTAACTCCGATAGATTTCGAAAAAGCCATTGACAACATGCCTATGCACTCAGCCCCGGGCCCAGACTCGTGGAACTCTGTTTTCATTAAGAACTGCAAGAAACCCCTCTCGCGTGCCCTAAGTACACTATGGAGGAGGAGCTTGGACATAGGTGAAATTCCACAGTCACTTAAAACAACGGATATAGCCCCACTCCATAAAGGTGGCAGCAAAGCATTAGCTAAGAACTATAGACCAATAGCTCTGACATCCCACATCATAAAAATCTTTGAAAGAGTGCTAAGAAGCAGGATTGCAAATCACCTGGATTCCCAAAATCTGCACAATCCAGGGCAACATGGGTTCAGGGCAGGTCGCTCCTGCCTCTCACAACTACTGGATCACTATGACATGGCCTTGGATGCACTGGAAGAAAATCAGAATGCAGATGTAATATACACAGACTTTGCAAAAGCATTTGACAAATGCGATCATGGCGTAATAGCCCATAAAATACGTGCTAAAGGAATAACTGGGAAAGTGGGGAGATGGATCTTCAACTTCCTAACAAATCGAACACAAAGAGTAGTGGTCAACAGAGTTAAATCGGAGGCTGCCATAGTGAAGAGCTCTGTTCCACAAGGCACAGTACTCGCCCCCATCTTATTCCTTATCCTCATATCAGACATAAACAGAGATATACACCACAGCACCGTATCATTTTTTGCGGATGATACTAGGATCTGCATGAGGCTGTCATCTGCTGAGGACGCGGTTAACTTCCAAGAAGATATAAACAAAGTTTTCCAGTGGGCAACGGTAAACAATATGATGTTCAATGAGGACAAATTCCAACTACTCCGTTATGGAAAACTGGAGGAGATAATAACTAGAACAGAGTATACTACTGACTCCGGCCATACAATAGAGCGGAAAAATAATGTAAGGGACCTGGGAGTAGTAATGTCTGAGGATCTCACTTTCAAGGATCACAACAGTGCCACGATCGCACGTGCAAAGAAAATGATAGGATGGATAATGAGAACTTTCAAAACGAGAGATGCCAAGCCCATGATGATCCTTTTCAAATCACTTGTTCTCTCTAGGCTGGAATACTGCTGTACATTAACATCTCCATACAAAGCAGGTGAAATCGCAGATCTAGAGAGTGTACAGAGATCCTTTACTGCACGTATAAGTTCTGTCAAGCACCTTAACTACTGGGAACGCTTGGAAGCACTTGACTTGTACTCGTTGGGACGCAGGAGGGAGAGATATATCATAATCTACACTTGGAAAATCTTGGAAGGAATGGTCCCAAATCTGCACACAGAAATCACTCCCTACGAAAGTAAAAGACTGGGCAGGCGATGCAAAATGCCGCCAATAAAAAGTAGGGGCGCCATTGGTACACTAAGAGAAAACACCATAAGTGTCCGGGGCCCAAAACTGTTCAACAGCCTCCCATCAAGCATTAGGGGAATTGCCAATAAACCCCTGGCTGCCTTCAAGAGAGAGCTGGACAGATACCTAAAGTCAGTGCCGGATCAGCCGGGCTGTGGCTCGTACGTCGGACTGCGTGCGGCCAGCAGTAACAGCCTAGTTGATCAGGCCCTGATCCATCGGGAGGCCTGGTCATGGACCGGGCCGCGGGGGCGTTGATCCCCGGAATAACCTCCAGGTAACCTCCAGGTGATTTTCATGTTTATTTTGATATTATCCGCAAATGATGTGTAACCGTGGCAGGTGTTTTTATCAGGCAGCTATGAGGATAACAGAGTACAGGCGGCAGGGCCGTGTTCTGGGGTACCGAGCTTCTTTGTTAATGCTGGATTTTGCTATGTTGTAATGCGAGGCCTCTGCGGTTAGGCTAGGCCACTGGTCAAACTACGAGATCTACTACAAATGCTCTGCCATCATCTGGTGTGTCTGTCGTGATGAAAGTTATCACCAGTTATGAGCGAAATAAAAAAAGGAAAGTTTGAAGTCTATCTCGTGAGTCTTCTCAAGTTATTAGCAAAATGAAAAAACGGAAAGTTGGAGTTAGAATAAATGATTTTTTTTTAGGGAACCACTTTTAAATGTTCCCTTCGGGTCTACCAAATAAACTTTTTTGTTTTCCTTCCACAGCTGATTGAGATGAACATGCGGGTTGAGTGTAAGTGTCACGGAGTGTCTGGTTCCTGTGAGCTCAAAACCTGCTGGAAGGCCATGCCCACTTTTAGAGAGGTACAGTTTCTGTTTATCTCTCGCATATTTCCTTTAAAATATTCCTATAATACTTATATATATAAATATATATATATATATATATATATATATATATATATATATATATATATATATATTATATATATATATATATATATATATATATATATATATATATATATATATATATATATATATATGTCGTGCCGAATATGTAAAACTGGTCAATTAGCAAGAACTCATTTAAAATTAAGTTCTTTCTAAAATTTTCTCATATACGTTTAAAGATATATTTTTTTCATTAATGTTGATGTAAAAATTTATAATTTTGCACCAAAAGGAACTTAGAAAACTTACCTAACCTTAATATAACAAGAACAATTTATTTTAGCCTAACCCAACAAAATAGATTTTAAATACGTTTACAATAATTTAGTACTAAACAGACACAATCAAATATATTTTTTTCGTTAGGTTCAGAATGATTTTGGCGAAATTATTGCATACACAAATTTTCACTTGTCCTATATAGCAAGATGAGCGTTGCTATTTAAGCCAAGATAGCAAGTTCTGCCTATTCGGCACGACATATATATATATATATATATATATATTACATGCACGAAATGGTTAATGATGTTACTTGAATTTAACTAAAACTCTGAGGATACTGAAGCTCACCGTATTCTGTACAACTATTCTGAAGCTCAGTGTGTTTTATACAACCGACTTGAACAGTCCCATATTCTATACAACTGCATTGCTTAAATAAATGACCACAAATTATTCTAAACAACGGCATTTATGTAAATCCTCTTTCTTAATGGCAAGTTTGGCAACGTTACAGTTCATCAGGTGGTCATGGGTATTACTGTGAATAACAAAGGCATTACTAACACTGCCAGTACAGCAGGCACGGGTAAGTCTACCTGCTTATCCCGTATATATTTCCTAACATCCTCTCCGTGGTATGACAAACTCCAGCTTAAGTTTCAACTAGACTTGTGGGTTTCTTGCTGGTTTTAGTGACCGCTTTAAAATATGCACTTAAGGAGAGTACAGGGGATATTATTAGCTACCTTAGAGTTCGGAATAACAAATCTTTGAAAGGATCGGTCAAGTTTTGCGATGCTGGTAATGCACACAGCACCACGTCTCTAGTAAGTGATGATACGAGATGGTAAAGTGTGGCTTATTGAAAACCTGGTGAATGTAGTCACGTTCCATCTTAAGGTGGTCAAGGCTACAAACGAGATGGTAAAGTGTAATTCAGGGAAGTCCTGGTGAATGTAGTTACATTCCTTATTAAGGTGGCTTAGGCTACACACCATACACGCTCTCACATAATATCCGGCGACAATTCCGCTTTCCGTCTTCTTGCGGTTAAAGTGAGAGTTTGTAAAGTTGTCTGTGTTAGTTGGTTTCCTGTACACTTTAAAACACAATTTTTTGTTCATCTACACACGAGCACATGGAGGAAGGGAAGTGTCTTCATATTCTTCTTCAAGTGTGAATTTAATGGAAGGCTCAGTCGTGTTGTGTCTCTGCTAGAGGTAGATGATTCTAAGCCTCCTGGCTGCTGTTGGGAGAATATCATCCACACACTGATGTAGGTGGGTGATGCTGAGTTTCCTAGCTGCTGCGGGGAAGATATCATCCACACACTGATGTAGGTGGGTGATGCTGAGTTTCCTAGCTGCTGTGGGGAAGATATCCACACACTGATGTAGGTGGGTGATCCTAAGCCTCCTGGCTGCTGTGGGGAGAATATCATCTACATACCACAGCCACGTCACATTGCTGGGAGTGATGAGGGTGAATTTTACCTCCTGCAGATACCACATGTACAGGTTAGTTAGTTGGTGCTCCCATTCCAGTATCAAAGTTATACCAGTACATTATTATTATTATTATAATCAAGGGGGAGCGCTAAACTCGTAGGATTATACAGTGCATGTGGGGGGATGGGAGGCATTCAGGCTCAATTCAGGGAACTGGAGCACAGATCCTATTCCCTAGATCAAGAGCCCCTCACTAACGTCAAGGAACCTCCCTCGAGGGGTATGCCAGTACAGAGAATTACAGGAATAGTCGGAGGAATAACCACGACCACGTGATGAAGTGGAGCGATGCCAAAACTATCAAGGAAGAGAATTTACATAAACACCCTTAGAGTTTACGACCATTTGTCTTAATGCAGTTGTTCAGAACAAAGGATCAACATTACAGATGTATAGAACACGAGAGCATCACTACAAATCTACAGAACACGAGAGCATCACTACAAATCTACAGAACACGGGAAGCAACACTACACATGTACAGAACACGGTAGCAGCACTACACATGTACAAAACATGGGAGCAACACTACACATGTACAGAATACGGGAGCAACACTACAGATGTAGAGAACACAGGGAGCATCACTACAGCTGGACAGAACACGGGAGCAACATAGATGTACAGAACACGAGAGCAACAACAGATTGCCCCCGTAATATTTTTTCTAATGTATTGATTAGATATTTAATTTTAATTATCTTTTAATATTTGCTGCAGATCTACTACATTTGTTTTTATTATCTTCCCCTATAATATTCCTGAGATATTGTGATTAGATTGAGACCTCAAACCTACAATACCTTGAACGACGTAGAATAAGAAGAGATATTACTGAAGTGTGTGAGTGGAAGACAGGTTTAAACAAAGGATGCTGAGAAGATTAAAATGTATGAAGAACACAAGAAAGTACTGTTTAGCAATAGAGTTGTAGACGAGTGGAAGTCTACCAAGGTCACTGAGCCTAACAATTTAGCTAGTTTAAAACTAGGTTTAACAAATATGTGAAGGTGAAGGGATGGATATGAGACGAACTTGGCTAACATGGACCAACAAGCCCCTTCTGCTTCTCCATTCTTACCTTCTTACAACATAATCTATCTTCAGATTACCTAATCTCCTTGCCAATCTTCAGATTGGAGAGATCCTCAAAGAGAAGTTTGACGGAGCCACGGAAGTTCGCGTCAAGGAAGTTTCCGGCCGAGCGGAACTAGAACCTAATAAGCAATATTTCAAGAAGCCAACTGAGGTGGACTTGGTGTATGTGTCGTCGTCTCCCGAGTACTGCGACTATGATATCAACAGTGGCTCGCTAGGTACCCACGGTAGACGCTGTAACAAGGTGAGTACGATATCAACTGGTTTGCCAGGCACCCATGGTAGAAGATGTAACAAGGTGAGTACGATACAAACTTGTTTGCCAGGCACCCATGATAGACGATGTAACAAGGTGAGTACAATATCAACAGTGGCTCGCTAGGTACCCACGGTAGACGCTGTAACAAGGTGAGTACGATATCAACTGGTTTGCCAGGCACCCATGGTAGACGATGTAACAAGGTGAGTACAATATCAACAGTGACTCGCTAGGTACCCACGGTAGACGCTGTAACAAGGTGAGCATGATATCAATTGGTTTGCAAAGTACCCACGGTAGACGCTGTAACAAGGTGAATACGATATCAGCTGGTTTGCCAGGTACCCACGGTAGACGGTGTAACAAGGCGAGTACAATATCAACTGGTTTGCTAGGTACCTACGGTAGACGCTGTAACAAGGTGAGTACAATATTAACAGTGACTCGCTAGGTATCCATAGTAGACGCTGTAACAAGGTGAGTACAATATCAACAGTGACTCGCTAAGTACCCATAGTAGACGCTGTAACAAGGTGAGTACAATATCAACAGTGGCTCGCTAGGTACCCATGGTAGACGCTGTAACAAGGTGAGTACAATATCAACAGTGACTCGCTAGGTACCCATGGTAGACGCTGTAACAAGGCGAGTACAATATCAACAGTGGCTCACTAGGTACCCATGGTAGACGCTGTAACAAGGTGAGTACAATATCAACAGTGGCTCGCTAGGTACCCATGGTAGACGCTGTAGCAAGGTGAGTACAATATCAACAGTGGCTCGCTAGGTACCCATGGTAGACGCTGTAACAAGGTGAGTACAATATCAACAGTGGCTCGCTAGGTACCCATGGTAGACGCTGTAACAAGGCGAGTACAATATCAACAGTGACTCGCTAGGTACCCATAGTAGATGCTGTAACAAGGTGAGTACAATATCAACAGTGGCTCGCTAGGTACCCATGGTAGACGCTGTAACAAGGTGAGTACAATATCAACAGTGGCTCGCTAGGTACCCATAGTAGACGCTGTAACAAGGTGAGTACAATATCAACAGTGACTCGCTAGGTACCCATAGTAGACGCTGTAACAAGGTGAGTACAATATCAACAGTGGCTCGCTAGGTACCCATGGTAGACGCTGTAACAAGGTGAGTACAATATCAACAGTGGCTCGCTAGGTACCCATAGTAGACGCTGTAACAAGGCGAGTACAATATCAACAGTGGCTCGCTAGGTACCCATAGTAGACGCTGTAACAAGGCGAGTACAATATCAACAGTGGCTCGCTAGGTACCCATAGTAGACGCTGTAACAAGGCGAGTACAATATCAACAGTGGCTCGCTAGGTACCCATAGTAGACGCTGTAACAAGGCGAGTACAATATCAACAGTGGCTCGCTAGGTACCCATGGTAGACGCTGTAACAAGGTGAGTACAATATCAACAGTGGCTCGCTAGGTACCCATGGTAGACGCTGTAACAAGGTGAGTACAATATCAACAGTGGCTCGCTAGGTACCCATGGTAGACGCTGTAACAAGTTGAGTACAATATCAACAGTGGCTCGCTAGGTACCCATGGTAGACGCTGTAACAAGGTGAGTACAATATCAACAGTGGCTCGCTAGGTACCCATGGTAGACGCTGTAACAAGTTGAGTACAATATCAACAGTGGCTCGCTAGGTACCCATGGTAGACGCTGTAACAAGGTGAGTACAATATCAACAGTGGCTCGCTAGGTACCCATGGTAGACGCTGTAACAAGGAGAGTTATAAACCTTGGTAATAACTGATGAAATCATGTAGTTTAAGAGGACACGTGAGCAAACACTAGGACAAATTTACTAGAAAATGTATCAATCCTGGGACCTATAACCTAGTGTTTGGTCATTTTAAACCAAGACGAGCTACGTAAAGAATTACCGTAAGGGTACGTACGTTCCCCCGTCTTCTAATAACACGTACATTTTTCTACTATAATCTTCCTTGTCTATAATTACTATCGCATTTGCTTTGTTTCGTAAGGTGAAGTCCAGGATCTTTCCTTAATTCATGGTATAACTTATTAAATCTTTGAGGGCAAATGTGTTATATAGTCCCAAATAGGTAAAATTTGCGATTTTGGCTTGAATAGCAACGCTCTTCGTGCCGAATAAGGCAAGCGAAAATTTGTGTATGCAATAATTTCGCAAAAATCATTCTGTTTGTTTAATAATAAACAAACACAATGAAATATATTTTTTCGTTAGGTTCAGAATGATTTTTGCGAAATTATTGCATACATAAATTTTTGCTTGCCTTATTCGGCAAGAAGAACGTTGCTATTTAGGCCAAAATCGCAAGTTTTACATATATATATATATATATATATATATATATATATATATATATATATATATATATATATATATATATAATTTACACTGAGAAATCGTCTCTCTGTGTATATATTCTGTGTGATCCGTCTTGTTTCTCTTAATTTGAACTGATGACTTAATATTTCAGACATCTCGCGGCCTGGACGGTTGTGATTTGCTGTGCTGCAACAGAGGCTTTACCAGCTTCCAGGAGCGTGTGCAGGAGCGCTGTTCCTGCAAGTTCCACTGGTGTTGCTACGTCAAGTGTAGAACCTGTATACGGGACGTTACAGTTCACACGTGCAACTAGCCAACGCCACCTCCAGTGTCAATGCAGTTCCGTTCCTCGAATCTCCCCTCTCTTCAATGACTGGCCTAGTAGAACCTGCGTTCTCCTGGCCTAACTACGACAGAAATGGCTGCGGACGGAAACGCATTTGTAATGTCACTCTTACCTGAACATAGTCTAAGTTCTTGTATTTATGGGAATATTTGATAGATTTAAAAGAATACATGTACAATTTTATGCCATAAATTATTAGATTTATCGAGATTTTCTCCAACATTTATTACAAAAAAGGTGCCATTGTCGCTTCGTAGCGGTCCGGACTTAGTGTGCAAATTCTCCCTCAGAAAAGACATTGTGAATATAAGCTAACGGTGATGCTGAGATCATCTCCAGAGTCCTGCATTACTCTGGTAATATGTGGGAGTGCGAAGTCACTATGGATATCTAAGGAGCTTAAATCCCCTATCCCAAACAATGTAAATATTCCCCCTTTATTCTTAGATCTGTAGATTAGTGGTTTAAGAAATAACGTTTTAGAACAAAGAATATTCGTAGACTTGGTGTAGGATCTTTGGAAGATCGAGTTTTGTACAGATGTCTTGTTATCTTAATCAAGTCTCCCTGTTATTTTGTAAGACTATCACTAACGGTCCAGCAACAACTATCATCTTTAGACATTAGCCCCTCTGGATCACCTCAAGATTTCCTCCCACAAAGAAAAATAGTGAAATATAGTTATGGAAATTATTAATATAAACATTTCTTTTAAGCACCAAAATTATTATAGAAACCTAGCCCAATCTCGCTGAAATGAACGTATATTAAAATAACATCTGATTATGAATTTACATAAGTATACTTCTCTGTTTTCGTTGTGTGAGGATGCTTGACGTGTCCCTCCCTCCTGCTGCCCTTGTTTGTGTATGTTTCTTGTGCTGCCTCATTACCTGGGATGAGTCTCCTCCATAACTTGTAGAGAACTTATACTTACCCTGATGTATATAGATCCTGTTTTAGCTTTTAAGGCGAATTTATTATATATTACTGTACATGTCCTGTACATGTTTTTTTTTTTTAACCCCAGGAAGGTGTTAGGTGTGTTTTACAGTGAAAAAGGAATGACATTACGTTTGACAAGTCTTAGACGCTAAGAATCACTATATCAGAGACACAAATCTCCATTAATTTTTTTACGAGGCTTTGATAAGATCGATACAGTAAAAACGTTAATGTCTTTATTAGGCTGCTCGAGCATAATTTTGTTAGTTTTGACAATATAAATAAATATGCTATGAATTATGTGGTCAGTCGTTTCCAGCAAGAGGTTTTTTTTATGCTAGTAATATCATAATTATTATTCACTTTACATACAGAACGAGTTAACGCTTTCTAATCCAACTCCATAAACAATAATAATAATAATAATAATAATAATAATAATAATAATAAACAAACTTACTAAGATGATACACATATACGTTATCAGAGATTGCATGATTTAAGGATACATACTTGGTAAAGCCCATTGTTATGCAAAACATTTCAGAAACTTTTCTTGATCACGAGTCCCTAACTATTTTCTCCGCCACTGAGATTCTTTAGCCTCTTCTGTATTTTGTTCTCAGGATTTTAAGCTTTGCTTTTATAAAACAAGACGAGGGTTGTTGACGGTACGAAGGTGGTGGTGTTCAAGTGTCTCCTGACGTGAGTCTGTCCAGTGATGAGCCACAACTGGTTAAGCATCCGCTGGCTGACTGGAGCTATGTTTTACATCCTATTTAATAAACAAAAGATCAGTGATCACAGAAGGGTAGTGACCGACTCCACAATAAATAGTATATCCTAAGTAATAACCTAACTGATATCCTAAAAAAAATCTATAACGCCAGGTTGGGGTTTATTAGTCAGCAAACTGGATAAATGTCTCGTGCACAGATCTTCGACAAGTTGGTTCATTAATGGAGTTTAAAGCCTATCGACTACACTCGAGTCGATAAGGTTGTACATAATCTTTTCCCCACCATATACTTCAATCCCTAAAATAGGGGATTAAAATAAACAGCCTATATACACTGGAAAATACACACCTCAGTGTATATATATAATAATAAGCAGATATAGGGTAGCAAATAACAGCATACCTAATGATGGCCTATTACCTTCTAGAATTTGTTTCCCGAACGCTTTCGCCAGGTTCCTTTAGCGTCCTCACAAAATATACTGTAGTTCATTATCATCTTAATGGTCGCCAAAGCGAAAACATCCGTAGACTTGTAACCCACACAACCTATTCTACTCTCTGCTTGCTCCTGCACCAAATCCTATCTATAAATAATTTCTTTTCTCACTAGCCTGTTTTAACAGGTGAGGACCTTAAAAGACGTACTGTTTTAATACCTCCCTACCCTATATCCCTTATAAATCACACATGTACCTTGTGTGTGTGTGTTTCGGCGCTCACCCAGTCCATATATACCTGGCCACTCCTCGCCGCTGCTGCTGGGTTAAGCCCTGGCACTATTTCTATGCCTATGGATACTCCTCTCCAGCGGTGTTCTTCGCCTGTCCCGTCTTCCCTGTTCACCTCAATGGGGGTCTTACCTAAATCTCTTGATCTTGATTGTAATGATCCACGATTGATCATTAATGGTCACATTAATAATCTTCTGAGGTTTGAATATAGAAACATCAAAACAATACAGAATATGAAGAAGTTAAATCATGCAATTTTATGATTGATAAAATAGGTTGGGTTAATTGGGCTTAAAAGCCTATCGATTACTCGAGGGTTATTAAGGCTGCATGTAACCAGTTCACTACCAGTCAAAAATACTTTAATACCTAAAATAGGGATTAAAGTAAACTACCAGTGTATATACATCGAGAAACTACCAGTGTATATACATCGAGAAACTACCAGTGTATATACATCGAGAGACCTGCACCTCTCGGTGAATTTAACACTACACTACTACTTAGTGTATATTTAATCCTACTGAAAATAAACAATCTCGTTTTCAGATGTAATTTTTCAATGCTATTCTGTAAAGTCTCTTCAGACATGTGTACATCCTATTGCTACATTTTTCCTCCTTAATTAAATGTGTCTCATGTATCATCAGTGACATGTGTCATCAAGGACATGTATCCAACGATCGTCAAACATGAACTGTAATATAGATTAAAATTCCTGTAGTTTGTTGTTTTATTTAAGCATCCCCAGGGCAACAAAAATATGCCAGTTATTATTATTTTACAACGGTTATAAAAATAATTACGTACATTCAGAGAAAAGGTAAAACCTCAAGTAGTTCAAATTCCTTGAATTAAGAGCCCTTCACCAAATACAAGGCAACTCTCCCTTCCTTGAAAGGTGCTAGACTTTAAGCCTATCCACTACACGAGAGTTCAGGCTGCACCTGTACGCCGCCGGTCAAGAATAATTAAATCTCTTCTTCTCTGTAAAAAAAAAAAAATGGCTGCCCATACGAAAAAAAATTAGTATGAACCCCCCCAATAAATATGAAAGTTTATATACAGAGCTAGTCACGACATTATGCCGAGTGAGCGCCCCGGCATAATGTCGTGACGAAAATCAAAGGCCTACCATACAGGGGAGGCTTTTTTCGTCATTGCATTATGCCGGGTAGCAGCCGTTAGCATGATGTCACGGCCTGCCGCCGCACTCCACAGACTCCTCAGGGCTCACGTGGCTGCCATGGTGAGTGGAAGTGTTGCACTTTTGTCTCTATTCGCCCCATCTTTTGTCCGGTGTTTCCTTTCGTTTTCGGGATATACATGTTTGATTATGGGTAAAAGGAAATCTTTAACACCTGAAACTATAGCTCAAATCATAGAGCTTCACAAAGCTGGGCAACAGACGAAAGAAATAGTGGAGAATGTTGGTGTATGTGAGCATTCAGTGAGGAACTGGGTGCAGTGTTTCAAAGCTGGTGGTGGTGTCGAGTTACCGTCCGCCAAACCTCGGCCTGGTCCCTCGAAGAAGACATCTGTTCGTACCTTAACTATGTTAAAGAAGCAGTTAGAGAGTACGCCTAAGATAACAGCTAAAGAATTGAAAGAAAAGAACCCACAGAGGTGTCTGTAAGAACTGTTAACAGATGTGTGTCAGAACTGGGCTACAGTAGTCACCGCCAGGTTAAGAAACCGATCCTCTCCAAGCCACAGAAGAAACGTAGGCTGGATTATGCAAAGAAATATCTTCACTGGAATCCTCAACAGTGGTCTAAGAACTTTGGAGTGATGAAGCAACCTTCACTGTCACCTGTAACCGTGGGGGACATGTGTACTGGCCCAAAGATAGTGACCCACTAGACCTGTGGGACCACCAAACACCCAGACTCGCTCATGGTTTGGAGGTGTTTCAGTGCTCAGTGTTGGCGAACTCATTGTCCTTCCCAAAAACCAGTATATGAACCAGTATAATTACCTGGAGTTATTGTGTGACAATTTACCTGAGGCATTTGACAAGTGTGGGGCTACGGTTTTTATGCAGGATGGTGCACCGTGTCATACTGCCAAATCTGTACTTCAGTGGCTTAAGGACTGAAGTGAGGTTCTTTAATTAATGACTGGCCAGGCAATTCCCGAAATGTAAACCCTATTGAGAACCTCTGATCAATAGTGAAATGAAGTTTACTGGGCAAGGATATCAGTTCCATCCCGCGGCTGGAGGCTGCTCAACATGAGGCATGGAATAATATACCTCCCCAAATCCTCAAGAATTTGCGAGTCTTCCTACATAGCTGAGGGACGTGAGTACACGTAAAGGACGCCTTGAGCACAGAAACCATAATTTTTTTTTTTGTCCACTTTCAAGTGTATGTAACTTTATTCTGTTGTTAAGGAGCAGTTTGCATCCTATACACATGTTTGCATGGACTTCTTGTTGCAAAGTTGCAAGATATTGCAAAATTGTATTTATCATAAAAACCCTCCCTAACCTACAAAATTGGTAAGTTGTCCAATATTCTAGTCAACATCAGATGAAAAATAAAGAGTTAGATTATCTAGATTTCAAACTCTTTTTGCGAGAAATGTCAGTGGATTGCATTATAAAAATTTTGAATTTTTTTTTTTTTTGCATTTTTTGTGAGAATAAGAGTCAATAAAAATAAAATGGTAAAACATATTGCAAAACAACTTTGAATACTAAATAGAACCATCATTCATCAATATTGTCTGAAAAAATCATGACACTCCTACTATTACTCTTTGAAAATAAGGGAAACAAATGTCAGTAACTTATTCCTGAGTTATTCAAGTTTTTTTTTTTCAATAGAACTCTATGGAGATGAAACACCAAATATGAGCGTGTTGCAAACCCTTATAATTGTTAAGCCAGAGTGATCGTGTTGCAAACCCTTATAATTGTTAAGCCAGAGTGAGCGTGTTGCAAACCCTTATAATTGTTAAGCCAGAGTGATCGTGTTGCAAACCCTTATAATTGTTGATAAGCCGGAGTGAGCGTGTTGCAAACCCTTATAATTAAGCCAGAGTGATCGTGTTGCAAACCCTTATAATTGTTGATAAGCCGGAGTGAGCGTGTTGCAAACCCTTATAATTGTTGATAAGCCAGAGTGATCGTGTTGCAAACCCTTATAATTGTTGATAAGCCAGAGTGAGCGTGTTGCAAACCCTTATAATTGTTGATAAGCCAGAGTGAGCGTGTTGCAAACCCTTATAATTGTTGATAAACCAGAGTGAGCGTGTTGCAAACCCTTATAATTGTTGATAAGCCAGAGTGATCGTGTTGCAAACCCTTATAATTGTTGATGAGCCAGAGTGAGTGTTGCAAACCCTTATAATTGTTGTTAAACCAGAGTGATCGTGTTGCAAACCCTTATAATTGTTGATAAGCCAGAGTGAGCGTGTTGCAAACCCTTATAATTGTTGATAAGCCAGAGTGAGCGTGTTGCAAACCCTTATAATTGTTGATAAGCCAGAGTGAGCATGTTGCAAACCCTTATAGTTGTTAAGCCAGAGTGAGCGTGTTGCAAACCCTTATAATTGTTGATAAGCCAGAGTGAGCGTGTTGCAAACCCTTATAATTGTCGATAAGCCAGAGTGAGCGTGTTGCAAACCCTTATAATTGTTGATAAGACAGAGTGAGCGTGTTGCAAACCCTTATAATTGTTGATAAGTCAGAGTGAGCGTTGCAAACCCTTATAATTGTTGATAAGCCAGAGTAAGTGTGATGCAAACCCTTATAATTGTTGATAAGCCAGAGTGAGCGTGCTGCAAACCCTTATAATTGTTGATAAGCCAGAGTGAGCGTGTTGCAAACCCTTATAATTGTTGATAAGCCAGAGTGAGCGTGTTGCAAACCCTTATAATTGTTGATAAGCCAGAGTGAGCGTGTTGCAAACCCTTATATAATTGTTGATAAGCCAGAGTGAGCGTGTTGCAAACCCTTATAATTGTTGATAAGCCAGAGTGAGCGTGTTGCAAACCCTTATAATTGTTGATAAGCCAGAGTGAGCGTGTTGCAAACCCTTATAATTGTTGATAAGCCAGAGTGAGCGTGTTGCAAACCCTTATAATTGTTGATAAGCCAGAGTGAGCGTGATGCAAACCCTTATAATTGTTTGATAAACCGAGTGAGCGTGTTGCAAACCCTTATAATTGTTGATAAGCCAGAGTGAGCGTGTTGCAAACCCTTATAATTGTCGATAAGCCAGAGTGAGCGTGTTGCAAACCTTTATAATTGTCGATAAGCCAGAGTGAGCGTGTTGCAAACCCTTATAATGTCGATAAGCCAAGTGTGGCGTGTTGCAAACCCTTATAAATTGTTGATAAGCCAGAGTGAGCGTGTTGCAAAAACCCCTTATAATTTGTTGATAAGCCAGAGTGAGCGTGTGCAAACCTTTATAATTGTCGATAAGCCAGAGTGAGCGTGTTGCAAACCCTTATAATTGTTGATAAGCCAGAGTGAGCGTGTTGCAAACCCTTATAATTGTTGATAAGCCAGAGCGTGTTGCAAACCCTTATAATTGTTGATAAGCCAGAGTGAGCGTGTTGCAAACCCTTATAATTGTTGATAAGCCAGAGTGAGCGTGATGCAAACCCTTATAATTGTTGATAAGCCAGAGTGAGCGTGTTGCAAACCCTTATAATTGTTGATAAGCCAGAGTGAGCGTGTTGCAAACCTTTATAATTGTCGATAAGCCAGAGTGAGCGTGTTGCAAACCCTTATAATTGTTGATAAGCCAGAGTGAGCGTGTTGCAAACCTTATAATTGTTGATAAGCCAGGCGTGTTCAAAACCTTATAATTGTTGATAAGCCAGAGTGAGCGTGTTGCAAACCCTTATAATTGTTGATAAGCCAGAGTGAGCGTGATGCAAACCCTTATAATTGTTGATAAGCCAGAGTGAGCATGTTGCAAACCCTTATAATTGTTGATAAGCCAGAGTGAGCGTGTTGCAAACCCTTATAATTGTTGATAAGCCAGAGTGAGCGTGTTGCAAACCTTTATAATTGTCGATAAGCCAGAGTGAGGTTGTTGCAAACCCTTATAATTGATAAGCCAGAGTGAGCGTGTTGCAAATCCTTATAATTGTTGATAAGCCAGAGTGAGCGTGTTGCAAACCCTTATAATTGTTGATAAGCCAGAGTGACGTGTTGCAAACCCTTATAATTGTTGATAAAACCAGAGTGAGCGTGTTTTCAAACCCTTATAATTGTTGATAACCAGAGCGTGTTGCAAACCCTTAAATTGTTGAAAGCCAGAGTGAGCGTGTTGCAAACCCCTTATAATTGTTGATAAGCCAGAGTGAGCGTGTTGCAAACCCTTAAATTGTTGATAAGCCAGAGTGAGCGTGTTGCAAACCCTTATAATTGTTGATAAGCCAGAGTGAGCGTGTTGCAAACCCTTATAATTGTTGATAAGCCAGAGTGAGCGTGTTGCAAACCCTTATAATTGTTGATAAGCCAGAGTGAGCGTGTTGCAACCCCTTTTAATTGTTGATAAGCAGAGTGAGCGTGTTGCAAACCCTTATAATTGTTGATAAGCCAGAGTGAGCGTGTTGCAAACCCTTATAATTGTTGATAAGCCAGAGTGAGCGTGTTGCAAACCCTTATAATTGTTGATAAGCCAGAGTGAGCGTGTTGCAAACCCTTGTAACTGTTGATAAGCCAGAGTGAGCGTGTTGCAAACCCTTATAATTGT